GATTTTTTTTTTTTTTTTCAGTACGTGGGCCTCTCACTGTTCTGGCCTCTCCCGTTGTGGAGCACAGGCTCCGGGCGTGCAGGCTCAGCAGCCATGGCTCACAGGCCCAGCCGCTCTGCGGCATGTGGGATCTTCCCGGACCAGGGCACAAACCCATGTCCCCTGCATCGGCAGGCGGACTCTCAACCACTGTGCCACCAGGGAAGCCCCCAAGATATTTTTTAATCCACCTCCTAGAGTAATGGAAATAAAAACAAAAATAAACAAGTGGGACCTAATGAAATTTCAAAGGTTTTGCACAGCAAAGGAAACCATAAACAAGACGAAAAGACAACCCTCAGAATGGGAGAAAATATTTGCAAATGAATCATTGGACAAATGATTAATCTGCAAAATATATAAACAGCTCAGGCAGCTCAATAGTAAAAAAAACAAACAACCCAATCCAAAAATGGGCAGAAGACCTAAATAGACATTTCTCCATAGAAGACATACAGGTGGCCAAGAAGCACATGAAATGCTGCTTAACATCATTAATTATTAGAGAAATGCAAATCAAAACTACAATGAGGTCTCACCTCACACCAGTTAGAATGGGTATCATCAGAAAATCTACAAACAACAAATGCTGGAGAGGGTGTGGAGCAAAGGGAACCTTCTTGCACTGTTGGTGGGAATGTAAATTGATACAGCCACTATGGAGAACAGTATGGAGGTTCCTTAAAGAACTAAGAATAGAATTAGCATATGACCCAGCAATTCCACTACTGGGCATATACCCAGAGAAAACCATAATTCAAAAAGACACATGCGGGGCTTCCCTGGTGGCACAGTGGTTGAGAGTCCGCCTGCCGATGCAGGGGACATGGGTTCGTGCCCTGGTCCTGGAAGATCCCACATGCCACAGAGTGGCTGGACCCATGAGCCATGGCCGCTGAGCCTGCACGTCCAGAGCCTGTGATCCACAAGCACTATTTACAATAGCCAGGTCATGGAAGCAACCTAAATGCCCATCGACAGATGAATGGATAAAGAAGGTGTGGTACATATATACAATGGAATATTACTCGGCCATAAAAAGGAATGAAATTGGGTCATTTGTAGAGACGTGGATGCATCTAGAGACTGTCATACAGAGTGAAGTAAGTCAGAAAGAGAAAAACAAATATCATATATTAACGTATATATGTGGAACCTAGGAAATGGTACAGATGAACGGGTTTGTAGGGCAGAAATTGAGACACAGACGTAGAGAACAAACGTATGGACACCAAGGGGGGAAAGCAGCGGGGGGTGGGAGGGGGTGGTGTGATGAATTGGGAGATTGGGATTGACAGGTATACACTGATGTGGATAAAATGGACGACTAATAAGAAAATAAATAATTTTTTAAAAAAGAAAAAAAAGATACAAGCATTATGAAGAATATCAGAAAAAGATTACTACCTACAATATCAAAAAGTTCTTGCAGGGCTTCTCTGGTGGCACAGTGGTTGAGAGTCCGCCTGCCGATGCAGGGGACACGGGTTCGTGCCCCGGTCTGGGAAGATCCCACATGCCGCGGAGCGACTGGGCCCGTGAGCCATGGCCACTGAGCCTGCACATCCGGAGCCTGTGCTCCACAACAGGAGAGGCCACAACAGTGAGAGGCCCGCGTACCGTTAAACAACAAAAAAAAAAATTTTTGCAAAATGATAGTGAAAAGATAATCCAATAAAAATAAAGTATGATAAAGCAATTCAAAGAATAACAAAGTAACCAGTAAAATATTTTTAGGAAAGTTTAAACTCAAGGAAATACAAGTATTAAAGGAAATGCAGAAGTTAAGGAAATGTAAATTCAATCCTTAAATTCAATGTAATATTATCACCTATGTCTGGTGTGGATAAGGGTAAAAGCATATGTTCTTGCAATTCTGGTGAAGATCTGTCTGTCTACTTTCTTAAAATTCATTCTAGCAACAATTTGTTAAAATCCACAGTATACATATCCTTTAGCCCAGCAATTCCACTGGTGAGAATGTGGTTCACAAAAATAAAAGGACTACTGCCTACAGATTTATGTGGAAGGCTATTTATAATGACAAAAAGCTAAAGGCAAAGTTACCCATCATAGAGGAATGATTTAATAAGTGATTATTATGCATCCATTAAATGAAATGAGTTAGATCTATACCAGTTGAATGGAAGGAATTCTATAATATACATTTAATTAAAAATGCAAGATGCCTATAAATGTATATAGTATGATCCCATTTTTAAAAAAGAATTATAAATCCCTATTTATATATGTGGTTTATATGATCACATGATCAGGGAGAAAGGTACGGAAAGATAAATACCAAGCCATTAACATTGATTACTTGGTTAGGGGGTTGGGGAGATACAGAAAAGACAATGGGAAGGAGAAAAGGCACAAAAGGAAAAAACGAAAAACAAATTATGATTTTTAAAAATATATGTGCACAATAAAAATAGCAAGTGTGATACGACCACCTTTATGTATTGTTTGTGTGTGTGCATAAAGAGATATGTGAAGGGATGGCCACAAAAAGTGAAAAGCTGCTTATCCTAGAGTTTGGGATTCCAGGTGATTTTTACTTTCTGCCTTATTCTTTTCCTCATATTTACAGTAGTATGTATGTTGTTGAGGAATAATTCAGAATAACTGACAAATATAATTGTATATATTTAAAGTGTACAGTGTGATGATTGGACATACATCGATTACCAAGATCAAGATAATCAACACATCCATCAGCTTACATAGTTAACTCTTTTTTTTCTTGGGCTAAGAATGCTTAAGATCTACTCTCAGCAACTTTCAAGTGTACATTAGATCCTCAGAAATTATTCTTCTAATAACTGAAAATTTGTACTCTTTGACCTATATAACCTCCTTTCCCCTCCCCAGTACGTATGTTATTTTTAAAATCAGGGGGAAATGCTTATTTTTACTGTAAAATGTAGTTATTTCAACTTTACCTGTGAAAATTATGTTTTCTTTTAAACTGTGTCAAAATTTCTTATACATGAAATCCAGAAGTGAAGATAATCATAACTAGGACATTTTTAGGGACCAGGAATAGAGAAAAGAATGGAGCGTATAGCACTGCTTGGGTAGTAATGTGGAAAACAGATAGCTGTGTTTTTTAATACCTTTTATCTACTAAGCGCATGATCTATAACAGTGTTTCTCGAATTGTAGCACCCTTCAGAATCACCTGGAGAGTTCATTTAAAACACAAATTCTCAAGCCCCTCCAGATCTGAGGACAGTCTGGGAATGCATATTTCTAATAATTATCCCAGGTGACCATGAAGCAAGGAACATTGCCCTGTGACATCAAGAATGAAGCAAATCGAGGATGCAAAACCAAGTTAATACAAGATGTAAAGGTCAGAAGAGGATTCTGGTGGGTTAATGACAGGAGCTAAATTATTCAGGAAAGGTAGAGGAATTAAAGCAACGAACACTGACTCTGTGGACATAGGAATGGATGTCACTTTAATTGTGGGGAAGCTGGACTTCTATGTTCTAGATCCTCTCTTGCCCTTTTTCCTGCGGTAGGTCCAGTCCAGGGGATGAGAACAGTTCTGACACTTGGAACTTTTAAAAGCCCAAGGAAACACATGATACTGTAGAAAGGACTAACTGGTCCACCTTTTTCCCTTCAGTCTACTTCAACAGAGCAGACATTATTCTTTAACCATGGAAGTCATCCTGACATGGTCTCTCTTCTGAAAGTAAAGTCACAGTCTTTGTGCTGGTCCCACTACCTCTTCTCTTCATCATTTAACAACCCTCCCCTCATCTCCGTGCCAGCCACCCTGTTCCCTTGCTGCTCTTTGACAGCATTAGGCATGCACTGACCTCAGAGGTGCTCTATTTATTTACTTATCCTTTTGGCACACACTTCCCCTAAATAGCTTCATGGTTCCTCTCTCATCTCCTTCAGGTCTTTGCTCAAATGTTACATCTTCAGTGAGGCCTTCCTCCACCACCCTACAATAATTGCAAGCTTCTCCCCTGCACACACATATTTACACATGTGCATGCTTTCTACCCCCTCCCTTGCTTTATTTTTTCCCCTTAATACTTCTCACTATATGTGACATGTCTTATTGATGTATCTTCCTTATCATCTTCCTCTCCTCTAGAGTGTAAGGTTCATGAGGGAAGTGATTTTCATCTGCTTTTTCCGTAGTGTACCCAGTACAGAGAACAAGCCCTGGTACATAGTCGTAACTCAAAAAATATTTGAGGAAGGAAGGAGGAAAGAAAATGAATGTAAAGGCACTGTGTCCTAAAATGAAATCACAGATGTGAAACTACTTTAGCAGAAAGCTAGAAGTATTTTGTGGTGGGAGCATTTGTGACTTTTGGAAATTTGAAGTTCTGGGACTATACCAAATAGGAAGTCATTTTTTTCTCATCTCATTATTATGGTCGAATGGATGAAGTCCATAGTTTAATGAAATAATAAAAAATACCCCTGATGCAAATAACAATTCTGAATATATTTTTAAGAAAAGCCAAGGATTGGATGTGGGGTGAGAAAGAAATGAAGAACTGAAGATAATTACAAAGTTTTGGATCTGAACTACTAGAAAGATAGAATTACATTAGTGGAACTAGGAAAGATCAATAAATATTTGTTGAATGAATGAAAAATTGTAAAAAAAAAAAAATTTAGGAGTGTGGCATGATAAGAGGCATAAATGGGACTGAAGATTTGTCTGAACATCCAAACCAAAGGCAAAGTTGGCATTCAGAGATAGAAAGTCAAACCCTGAAGGATAGCAAGAGAAAGAAGTCCATTTTTAGTTCATTTAAAGGTTTTAATTTCAATTTACTCTTTTGAGTGAGTTCCTCCTGTTGTATGTTCTTTTTAGGTCTTTCAAAGTGAGCTGAAGAAGCAAAATGAATGGACAAATTATGTTTCTTTTTTTCCTCTAGAATGGACTCCTGACTGTAGTTGATTCTTATTTTCATTTGCAGAGCAGAGACGGCTAAAGAAAACAGACATTCCGTTACTGCATAGACTCCTACAGGGACCATCCAAAAAGAATGCTCGCATTTTCCTCATGGATAAAGATGCAGAAGAAATTAACAGTGATGTATGGATGCCATTGCCCTGAATCTATCTTTGCCCTCTCCTCACTCAGCAGCTCTCACACAAATGCTCTTTTTGTTTGTTTTTCTTTCAGGTGGCTCAGTATATTAACTTTCATTTTTCTCTCCTGGAATCCATCCTTCAAAGATTAAATGAAGAAGAGAAAAGAGAGATTCAAAGAACAATAACAAAGTAAGTTAAGAGCTTGCACACTGGGTGCTTCGTTCTTTAATAGGTTCAAGGCACAAAATGTGTCCAGTTGTTAATACTCTTTTTCTCCTTATTTCAGATTCAGTACAGAAAAGGCTATCATACTGAAATGTCTTCGAAGTAAACAGGTAATAAAAACAGAGACAACAGTTTAGCAATACAGGTCACTATTGCTAAAACACTTCAACAAAATTAGAAGGGTGTTACAACTATTTGAGTGCATAAATTCTATACTTGCATTTATACAAATATATGTGAACTTGAATCTGTAGGAAATTGAATGTGGAAAAAGCTTGTCTCTCTTTAAACTGAAGAGGTTAAGTAGGGTTCACAGTTGGACTGGAGGAACTTGAATTTAGTTTCAGTAACTGGAATAAGCTCGGATACTATGTATTTCAAATAGTTTTTATAGTAAAACGCTCAATGAACTTGAATTTAAATGGCATCTTCAGATGCCATGCAACTTAAACTTATTTTAGCTTCAACTGTCAAGAGAACTCTCATCAACTGACTCTCAGAAATGATTCAGAAGTAAAAGCTGCCAGCTCTTAAAATAAAAAATCAGCACATTACTACCCCACCAAGGAATCTGACGGTGATGGTGTTTCACAGCTCCTTAAACTCTAGCCTTTTCATAAAATCTAGGACTATCTTTCTATGGATACGTGGCTTTGGGCTATCTATAACATCAGAGCTATCTGTCCTTTGGGATGGAAAATATTATGGACTCTGTTAAGAAATCCAAATTGTAATTTTCTCAACCTGAGCCCTCTTTCCCCCCGCCCACCCCGCTCTGTTCTACAGATGACTTTCAAAAGTGTTCTTAAGCTTTTCTTTTGTCAATTGAACTAGTTTTCTTTATTTTTCCAAACAAACATATCACAGAGATTTAGTGTATTTTGTTGGCTAGGCTAAGACTTGACCCATGATAACCATTTGTTGCTGAATAAATATAGAAGATAATGCAAAGCTGCGGTAGGGTAGCCGAAGTTGGGCAGGAAATCTGGAGCTCTGCCCTTTTTCTCCAAGACAGCTCATTCTACAAAACAACACTCAGGGTCCATCAAGTACACTTAACCAATCTGAAAAAGCACTGAGAATGCCACAAGTATCATCTATGATTTTATTTATGAACTCTATATTGAAAGGGAGTTTTATGCAGCTGTTTTCCATTCCACTATTACTTCTATTTGCATTCCTCAGAAGCATTGGATTAAACTGATTATATTACACACACTATGGGATAAGGTTGAATGTAATAAACCCAGTTGGAAGATCAATTATCAAAATATGAAACATGTTTAAGACAAAGGTATTACTTCTCAGTGTAACCAAATCCTAAACCAGACAAAAGTAAAAGTGTGCTGTGAGCTTTTCAGTCCTAGGAAATCTCCTTTACTGAATAAGACATGGGCTTGCATCTTCATCCTATTATCTATCAGTTATTAAGAAAATCTCATCTCACAAAAATAAAGCAAATGTAATGGTTAAAATTCAGTATACTTGGGCTTCCCTGGTGGCGCAGTGCTTGGGAGTCCGCCTGCCGATGCGGGAGACGCGGGTTCGTGCCCCGTTTCGGGAGGATCCCGCATGCCGCGGAGCGGCTGGGCCCGTGAGCCGTGGCCGCTGGGCCTGCGCGTCCGGAGCCTGTGCTCCGCGGGTGGGGGGGGCCACAACAGTGAGAGGCCCGCATAACGCAAGAAAAAAAAAAAAAAAAAAATTCAGTATACTTATTTAAAGTAGTGTCAAGTATCTGCCATAAACATGACAAAAGATTCATCTTTAATATATTGAAAGTCTACAAAATGCATTAAAAAATACCACGCCCAGATAGAATAAATAAGACATATGGCTTGAAAAGTAAAATTGCAGAAGAGGAAATGCAAATGGCTACTAAGTATGTAAAAAAAGTTGTATCTTAATAGTGATCAGTTGTATTAGTCTGTGTCTAATCAGGAGACAGAAACCACACAGTCATCTAAACAGGGGAAATTTAATATAAAGAACTTAGCTGTGATGATAGAGTAACTATAAAAATGTGAAGAGAACTCCAAAGGGTACCCTAAGGCTGAGGGAGAATACCCCACAAAGGAAAAGCTTGGAGAGAGGAGCTGAGAATTCATTGGAGAAGGTGTGGTTGCAGCCCAGTGGATAGGGGAGACATCCTCTGGTTGCCCAGGACACAGCAGGGCCACAGTCATAGGCCAATCAGGAACAACTCTCTGGAGTGTGGATCAGGTGGACAGGTGAGCAGAGGGACTTGGGGCTTCTCTGCAGGCACAAAGCCAGATCACAGAGTGTCGATGTCTGGAGGTCTGCAGGAAACAAAGTCTGGGGGCACAGGTAAGCTGAGGCTGAAGGGTAGGCACACAAAAAAGTCAGAGGCGCTGCTGCCAGTGCTGCTAGGACTGGGGGCGCTGCAGGGGCCATCTCTGCAGGAACCTAGTACAACTCTGTGTATGCCTTGGACTGTGGCATCTTTGAGGCTGCATGGGACAAAGGTGGGGCAAGTGGCTTACCAGATGATCAGCCCCACAAGGCACTCTCTGGGAGCATGCACCAAGTTGAGAAGGTATGGAGAGTAATGATCTGAGCTAGGACACAGGCCTCTACTGGGCCTCCAGGCCGTGCCACCACAAACCAAATCAAAAGCTACAAAAGGGGTTGGAGGAACACAAGAGAAAGAAAACTGCACCCTACAGGCCACTAGCACTGAAGAAACCACTCTGGGTAGAGCAGTGAAGGAAGAAAGTCAGCTTCCCAGAATCAGGAAAGACCAACTTCCTCCTGCAGTGTTTCTCCAGTGCCCTCTACTGACAAAGCATGACATCATGTAAGCTGCAAAGGAAGCATATATAGAAAGGCTCCCATGTACATTTTCACAGACAACAACAAAGAGTGAATTTGGAGCAGAGACACAGTAAAATAACTGGTGTGTCAACAAAATGCAAAACAAAGGAAAGTGAAATTCATCTATTAAAGAAGATTAAGAAATGATAATATTAAATACTCAACAAATTACAATGAGATGGGCACTTAAACTACTGGTAGAATTACAAATGAATATAACTTTCCTTGAAAGCAATTTAGTAATAAGTTCATCCTATAATTCTACTTGTAGGATCTTATATGAAAATAATCATATATACAAAGACACTATGTAAAGATGATTATTATTTATTGTGATAAAAGGAAGTAAATAGCCTAATGTTCAAAAATAGGAAAAAAAGATTAAGGAAGGCAAGAAACATTTACCTATAGAATGTTATGCAGCTCTTAAATTGTTTTCTAATAAATTTTAATTATAAGAGTAAATTCTCCTTATGTATCTGGATAAGAATATAGATACAATATCCAAAAGTTTATTATCCATAAGATATATAGATATATGTTTATATATGTATGTATATTATTTGCACATAAACACTACAAACCCAAAACATGTTAAATGTGGTTATGTCTGGTTTGCAGAATTATGTATGGGTGATTCATGTTTTTCATATTTTTCTACACTTGTTAAATAATCTGTAATGAACATATATTGCTTTTTCTATTTAGGAAATAGAAAACTTATGATTAAAAAGTTGCCAACAAAAAAGTAGCAAGTACATGCAAGCACAGAGTTCTACTAGATGCAAAAAAATTCAAATAAATTATTCAAGTGAGATGTTAACATCACTACCGTGGTAGTTTTAAAATATATGTATGAAGTCTTTGATACTCCTCCTCTCAAAATATGGAGCCTAATTTTCCTCACCTTGCCAATGGGCTGAACTTAGTATCTCACTTCTAAGGAACAGAGGAAAGCAGAAGTGCCAGGGTGTGGCTTTGGAGACTAGGTCATACAAGTCACTGTGGTGTCCTCCTTGCTTGTTCTCTTGGATTGCTGGCTCTGGGGGGAGCCAACTGCCACATCCAGAGTAGCTCTAGGGAAAGGCCTATATAACAGGAACTGAGACCTTCTTCCAAAAGCCCAAAAGCCAACAAGGAACTGAGGCACCCTGTCCACAGCCCACAGCCGAGAGAGTACACCATTGGCCAGCCCCAGTCAAGCCTTCAACGACTGCAGCCCTGGCAAAGAGCTTGACTACAACCTCATGAGAGACCTGAGCCAAAAATCCCGGCTAAACCACTCCTGGATTCCTGATCCTCAGAAAATGTGTGAGATACAAAATGTTTGTTGTAGTATGCTGCTACGTTTTAGAATAATTTGTTACATCACAATAGATAACTGATATAATTTCTGAGACAAAAATCTGTTCACTTCAGAGTCATCTTTACATAATACAAGAATATAAACTTTTGTCACAAAACCGTTCATCCTTGTTTTAGGTGGTCCAAATATTTCACTACCAGTTACATATTAGTTCAAATTCAGTTCTAGATAATGTTATACTTGTTAATGGTAGAGGACCTGTCACATTCATCTTTGTATACTTTGTTGTACTTAATAGGGTGTCCTGTGTATGGGATGTGCTCAATAAAAATCAATTAAATAAAGGACTGAATGAATTAATGAATGAATAAAAGAATGAGTGAATAAACTGTCTAAAATATTTTTTTAAAATCCCCTGTATATATGCCTCCTTTTTCACAAATCTGATCTAGTAGCTAAAAACATATCGAAACTTTTCTATATGGTTTTCCCTAATATGGTGGTGTATTTTATCATCTCTTGGCAGTATGAAATATACAGTTAGGCAGTGTTACTATGGAATTTTGTTTAGGGTTGTTCAGCTTGGCTTCAAGAACTGAAGAAATCCATTGGCAAGGCAGTTGATGAGGTGGAGAAGATGGCAGATGTATCTATCATATTGAGATATCTACATGTGAAAGGAAAGGAATAGGATGCAATTCAAGAGGGCAAAACCCTCAACAGCATCCATTTTTCTTCTAAATAACAGCTAAACTATTAGACTGAGACATTTGAAATTGTCCATATTTGGCCTACAAAAGCAGCAATTTTATATTGTTGAAACTAACCACACTTAGCATTTGCCTTACATAGATCAACTCATTTAACATCCATTACACTCCTGTGAGGAAATTAATCTTTCAACCTGATTTTAAAGATGAGAAAAGTAAGCCATGGAGAGGTTGGGAGATTTGCTAAGCTCTTTAGTAGAAGACTGAGGTAGGATTTGAACTTATGGCTTCAGGACCCATACTCTTAACCACTGGAATATATGGCCTCACCCTAATTACACACCCTCAAGTGGCATCTCTCTGTCTTCATTTGTGATATAGAAATAATCGTACCTACTTCATTATACGGTTGTAGGAGTTATAGGAATAATACATTTAAAGGCTGACACTTTGCACATAAGAAGTGTGTGATAAATATTAGCTATTGTTATAACTAAACTATAATATGTCCTCACCCAACACTGTAGCCTAGGCTTTCACTAAGTCTTACTGCCCACAACTACTTTACTCTTGTCTCAAAACCCACCCATCTGAATCACTCACCATTCGCGCTCACACTCTCCACATCTATCTGTTAAAACATGTCTATTTTCTAGTCATTGGCCAGGGTCACTCCTTCCATGAACTTTCCTGGTCTCTGTGGCTATGTGTGATCTCAGACTCCTGGGTTCCACATTAGTTAGCTCTGCTCTTGTGACACTGGAAACGTGAAATCTGCCCATTATTATAATTCCTTATGTGTTTATATCTTGTTTAAATTCATTAGTGATCTGGCCATATCATATTCATATTATTCCCTGCAACACCTAGCACAGTGTATTGAATACAATGGATACTTAAATGTTTATTGGATTTAATTTGCTAGTATATAAGAACATGCTGAAATTACTGGAGTAAGGAAAAACTGAAATCAAGTAAAGAGCACTATAATGAGAATTAAACATTTTTTCTAACTAAAATCATTTATTTAGTAAGCACTAAAATATCACTGCTTACTTTTACTTCATTACACACACAAAAAAAAATCTGCAAAACTAAGTCGAAATGATAAGTTCTTTATGTCATTTATGCTGGGATTTCCAGGGAAAAGACTACTATTACAAATCATCACTGAAAGCTCAAGTGAATATAAATATGTTAGGACCCCTTGGTGACAATGTCAACATCACATATCTCGGGTAAAGATGAAAGGGAATACAGTCATGTAAGTACCTTTATTGTAAAACACATTTCATTCAGTTCATCAATAATCAATTTCAGTAGTGGTACAGATAGAAGCCACAAATGGCACTTGGGGTCTTTTTCACTCCAGAAACCCAGCAGCCAGGTCCCAGTTCAATGTGGCAGCTCATTACATCCACCTGAGGTTTTGAAAGGCCCCTTGGTTTCATATTTCTGTTGCTGCTTCTGAGAAGTAGAAAGCTTATGGGGAGAGAGAAGGGATGGCAGTGGGTTGTAGGAGAGTTACAATAAGTAGATTTCTCTGCTGAGTAGGAAAGGAGAGGTTTAGTGTAGACTAGTTAATGTTCCTGAGTAACATTGCTAGTAGCTGAAAAATGATGTTGATTCTTCTTTTGAATATTAGACATGCATTTCATTATTCATGAAAAACAAAAAGCAGTTCTCAGCAAAGATTGTACATTGAAATATGCTGGAATCATTTAGCCTCCCAAAAGAGACTGGCACTTTTTGATCAGTTTGGACCCCTAAAAAAAAGCAAATAAGCACATCTGTGAGAAAGGGAAAACAGCTAAGCAGCTCTGATTCCCAAACAGAAAATCTTTAAGACTTCCCTTTTGCATGCCTGAGATGGGTTCTAATAAGCCTGCCTCTCAAGGTCTCAGAATTTCTCACAGGCCTAGTCCCTTAGCTTAAGGACCTAATTAACTGCAATGCCTCATCCACCTTCAGGACCCCAGATTTAGAATAAATAAAAATTTGCTTCCTCCTCACAAAAATATGGCACTCCTTTGCAGGGTAAGAATGAACAATCAACATCAGCTTCTCGCTGCATTTTAAAACAGCTCTAGGGTAATCCCATGCTAAATCGCTGACTATTCGGATATAGAAATTCAAGAGGAACAAAACCACTAAAATTGATCAGATTATCTCTACTCCCTTCATATGTACTGATGTAGACCTTGATATTAAGTCCAAAAGTTTTCCCCGATTTGTACCTGTATGGTCCTCATTCAAATAAAAATCATTTGTGGAAGCCCAAGTAGATAAAAGTGAAATCTTTAGCTTAGTGGAAATGGGACCCCTAGAACTCCACTGCTAAGGTATGAACACACACACATCTGAGGGGTAGATGACTCACACTCCTAAGAGCCTCTAGGATCCTGTAGAAAATGGTTAGAAGTCTAGTAATTTAGTTCTTCTTCCCACCTTCAAACAGTACCATATCTAAATTGTCTAGAAAGACTGAAATCTATTTAGGCTTGTTTTTAAAAATACCTCTGGAATTTACGTATCCTTACTTCCACGGTGACCCATGACTATTTTTGTTTTGTTTTGTTGGAATGTTAATTTATTTCCTTTTTTAAATTCATGTTTTAAAATTGAATAGTTAATTTACAATGTTGTATTAGATTCAGGTGTACAGCAAAGTGATTCAAGTATATACATCTATTCTTTTCCAGATTCTTTTCCACTATAGGTTATTACAAGGCATTGAATATAGTTCCCTGTGCTATATGGTAGATCCTTGTTGTTTATCTATTTTATACACAGTAGTGTGTATATGTTAATCTCAAGCTCCTAATTTATCGCCCCCCACCCCCTGCCATCCCCTCTGGTAACCATTAAGTTTGTTTTCTATGTCTGTGAGTCTATTTCTGTTTTGGAAATAAGTTCATTTATATCATTTTTTAGATTCCACATAGAAGTTGTATCATATGGTATTTGTCTTTCTCTGTGTGACTTACTTCACCTAGTGTGATCATCTCTAGGTCCATCCATGTTGCTGCAAATGGCATTACTTCACTCATTTTTATGGCTGAGTAATATTCCATTGTATATATATATCACGTATTCTTTGTCCATTCATCTGTCGATGGACATTTAGGTTGCTTCCATGTCTTGACTATTGTAAATAGTGCTGCTATGAACATTGTCGTGCATGTATCTTTTTGAATTAGAGTTTTCGTCTTTTCTGGATATATGCTCAGAAGCAGGATTGCTGGATCATATTAGTAGCTCTATTTTTAGTTTTTTAAGGAACCTCCATACAGTTCTCCATAGTGGCTGCACCAATTTACATTCCCACCAACAGTGTAGGAGGGTTCCCTTTTCTCCACACCCTCTCCAGCATTTATTATTTGTAGACCTTTTAATGACGGCCATTCTGACTGGTATGAGGTGATACCTCATTGTAGTTTTGATTTGCATTTCTCTAATGATTAGTGATATTGAGCATCTTTTCATGTGCCTGTTGGCCATCTGTATGTCCTCTTTGGAGAAATGTCTATTTAGGTCTTCTGCCCATTTTTTGATTGGATTGTTTGTTTTTTTGGTATTAAGCTGTATGAGCTGTTTGTATGTTTTGGAAATTAATCCCTTGTCAGTAGCATTGTTTGCAAATATTTTCTTCCAGCCTGTACGTTGTCTGTATGGGAGACTGCTAACCTGTCATCCATCTGAAGACTTTGGAATAATCATTACTAGTCTATTTCTCCAAATCCTGTGACATGCTTTTCAAACCTTTTTACATTCTAGATACTGCTGGACATAACAACTTGCCAAGATCCTTTTAAAATGGGTCACCTCTCATCTCTTTTGAAATCCCAATTCAATAAGAGTAACAATATACCGGAAAGAATAAAGCCTACTGATGCTAAAAAGAAACAAAAAAAACCACCATCAATGTAAGAGCTATAATGAACTTCTGAAAAATAGTCATTGGTGTGATATTAATCAACATATAAAAATGCAGAGATAGAAGCTCAGAATAGTAACATTAAAGAAGTACCAGCAGTAAAAGACCAGAAAGTCATTGATTTCTGAGCTGCTTTGGTTCTTATATCTGCTCAGCCCATTTTCTTAAACTTCCTAAAGATTTCTGAAGTCACTACTATCCTTTCAATATACTAATTTTTACTTAGGTTAGCCAGAATTTGATCCTATTATTTACAACTAAAGAACCCCAACTAACATACCAGCTTAAAATATAACTGTGTAAATATATGGGTGAAATAATATTTAAATATGCAAGGGCCCCTAAAGTTTATCACCCGGGTGCCCATTCTGAAAAAATACATAAATACATACATACATACCTAACTTAAGAATGTAGCCAAAAAAACCTTAAAAGAATCCAAGAAAAAAACACAAAATGGGATGTTAGAAATAGTCAATTTTACCCAGAGTTACACTTTAAAAGAAACTCTTAGTGGACAGCCATAAATCAGTCCCAGAAATAACTAAATCCAAACTGAAAGATTAAGTCAGAGGACTTTTCAAATGTGATCAAACTTTAAGTTTCAAATCTTATCAAACTTTAAGATGATAGAATATTCTATTACAAAAACTGTATGATTAAGAACCTGATATAATTTAGCAGTGTGATATATTTTAGTGGTGTGATGAAAGTAGATGCTTTATTTGTCAACATGGAAAAAGAATGGTAATTAGAAACTCTCAAAAAAGAAGGATGTACTAGGAAATCATAGTCCAGATACGTAAAACTAAATAAATGTGACATATTTTCTGCAGTTGATAGTAAGAAAAAAGACTTCATTTAATCTTGACACTTTTTAAGTATCCAGGATAAGTCATTGAACTATTGGTCAATCCATTCATTGTACAGCTGTAAATAATATTACAGTTAAACACACTACTGAACACTATTTAATGGCTTCCAGTTTTTGGATCAACCTATTGACAAAGCATATAAACCTTACATTTACAAAGCAGGATGAATAAACCTAGACAGTGTGGAAGTAATGGTATAGCTTTAAAAAGGAAAGCTGGCAAAGAAATCAAAAGAAGTTTAGACATGTTAATTATGTTTTGGAAAATCAGTAGATGCTGATTGAAGTCGAAGGACCAAGAAATAGAGTATAACCGATAAAAGAGCTAAAACTACAAAAATACTTTACCTAAAATAAAAAATTGAGAGTCTACTGGTAGTATTGTTGAAGTTAGTGTAAGTATACTATATTCTTTAAGTGACAGCAGTATTTTAAAAAACTATTAAAGTAATAATGGTAATCACTAGGAATACTAAAAGTGAAAACTTAAATTGCTTACCTTTTGGGAATGGGAAATGTACCCTGCTCTTCTGTCTGAACTCTTGCCATGTTCGTGTATTACTTATGTAATTTTCAAAACTTGTGTAATGTATCATAAGCAACTAAATACAGTATCCCAGAGTGACCTGATCCATGTGGTTACGATATCACATTGCTTAATCTGATCCTTGTTTTTTCTCCAGAAATGCATCCCAGGATTGCAGTAGCTTTGATAGTAGACCCATCAAGTTGTAAGCATAGGCCACTTAAACCAGCAAGTCTTTCCACATGAACTTGTGCTGAGTTACAACTAAGAGCAGAACTTTGCTTTTTTTACTGTTAAATTTCATGTATTATTTTCAAACCATCATTTCAACCTGCCCAAATTCCTGCTATTTCTTGTTAACTTTCTTCTATGTTATATTCTGTTGGGTGACAGATAAGTATCTCAGGCTACAATTATCATTCCCCACTGACCTGGAGGAGAGAATTTCTGAGGAGTTTTCTCCTTAAAACTGCTGAAGTCTACAATTCACATCATTATTTCATGAAATATGAAATTCCTTTTCTTTGGAAGATCCAAATTCACCTTGTATGGCTGGGTTTCTTATTTTATTCCTTTTTTTTTTGTTTCATTCTTATTCTTACCAACATTCCAACATTAATTTTGGTTCCCTTTTTTCTCCTTAGAATTTTCCTGCATTCTGGTTTACTTCTCAAAATATGTCTTCCATCTTGTCTAAAAATTACCCTCCCACTAGCCACAGCTAGAAAGGCAGTCTTCAAACCTGCCCACTTTCTCTTTTAACAGGCAGAACAGATTCACATAATTGACTATTCTAATCTCAGAAAAGAAAACAAAGAAAATGCATGTAGGTCCCTGGAGCAGTTAGTCTAACTTGGAACATCTACAGACTGCCAATTGGCTAAGCCTCTTCACTTCTGGGATTTTGGTTCCATGGAGACTCCCAAAGCCACTAGGTATTATTCCTTTGCATTACAGTCAAACCTAGACCTCTTCCACAAACATAGAGGCACAAAGACTCACCGAAATTCTTGATGATAAGATTCCAAAATATTTCGATCATATATTCCTATATTTTTTGCTAAGCCTATTCATATAAGGTTATTGCTTTTATATTCCAGTCTTACCTTTGTATTTAATGTCCCCCAAATCTTTCACTTCCTTTCATAAGTAGGTTATTTTTCAATTGTTTTATTATTTTTGTTACTGCCCTTGGTTCCAACTTCTCACTAAGTTAGATATATAAAAATATTGGGAAGGGAGGGAGGAAACAGTTTATGATTATCTACTTTCACCTTAGGAAAGTGGTTCTTAAAGTGGTCACCAAACCAGCAGCATCAGTAGCACCTGGGAACTTACTAGAAATGCAAATAATCAGACCCCACCCCATTAAATCAGGAATGCTGGGGATGGAAAATATTGATTTTGTTTTAACAAGCCCTCCAAGTAACTCTGATGCACACGAATATTTCAGAATCACCTCCTTAAAATAATAATACGGAGATATACTTGGTCAAACTTCATAGATGGTGCAGAATTACATATAATAAGCATTTCTATCTGAAGAAGTTCATCTAGCAAATTTTAATTAACATGATATATTCTTCAGATAGCCCCTATTTTCTCCTTTAATTTGTGGAGAAATCCTAAAAGAAAGTAGAGAGGGAAGGGGAGGGAAGGGGCAAAGTTCGGGCTTTTCAATGATTAAGTTGAAAAGCACTGTCAGACAAAAAGTGTGGGGAAAAAAGCACACAGAAGTCTTCCTACATGCTGTTGATGAAATAGTTCAAGCAAGAAGCATTCACACTCAAGAACAAGAACACTTCAAGAAAATTCCTTTGGGAATTTTTAGGCACAGGCCCTTCTGCAAAAGTGTTTATCTGTGTGGATATGGGGTTGTTACTCAGGTAGAGATCTGTTTTCTGAATGTTTTACAAAAAAGTGAAAGGGCTTTAAAGTAAATAAATGGGCACTTGTGACTATTTTCATTTTGTGTATCAGCTGGTCTGGGAGTCAGAAAATTTTTTTGTGAACAGCCAGATAATATTTGGAGCTTTGCAGTTCATTCAGCCTGTCACAACTACTGAGTCTTACAACTACTCAATTCTGCTGTTGTAAAAAGCGGCCATAGACAACACGTAAATAAATGGGCAAGGCTGTGTGCCAACGCAACCTTGTTTACATAAACAGGGAGTGGAGCTGAGTTAGCCAGAGGGCTGTAGTTTGCCTACCTTTGACTACACCATAGATATATGAATTTTAACATAAGCACATGTACAGTTTAGGTGAAAAAGTAGAAAAGAGCCACTGAAGGTAATTGAGGCATTCATGAAAATTGTCACCTGTGAAAATGTTTCCCTGGGCCACTGCTAAACCTAGTCCTAACTAGGACTAACTAGCCACAGCCTGTTTTGACTGTAAAGCCTGCTATATTATATTTTATTTTTTGAACCACACGCTTGCATTCTTCTACTCGGATGCTATTACCTACTATATCCTAGTTTCTGCTTCTCAAGTCATGTCCCCAGGAGAACGGTCCATCCCAGTTCCCCTCCATGAATTCACATGAATTTTCTGTGCCACACAGGGATGGTAGGATTACCATGATATTCTTAAAAATGTAAGTCATACAACGTTACCATCTTATGAAAAGTCACTTGCTTGTTAACTGTATGCAATTAGATTAGTTACACAAAACAGTCTCCTGGGGCTTCCCTGGTGGCGCAGTGGTTGAGAGTCCACCTGCCGATGCAGGGGACACAGGTTCGTGCCCCGGTCTGGGAAGATCCCACATGCCGCGGAGAGGCTGGGCCCGTGAGCCATGGCTGCTGAGCCTGCGCGTCTGGAGCCTGTGCTCCGCAACGGGAGAGGCCACAACAGTGAGAGGCCCGCGTACCGCAAAAAAAAAAAAAAAACAGTCTCCTGGTACTCAGTTTGGTGTGTATGCACAAAGAGACACTTTTTTCTGGTCACTGTTCTTTTCTCTTTCTATTCTTCAACCCCCTGTTCTAATGATCTGCCACTGAGAAAATGCAATCCTTTTCACCTAAACCGGTTTCCTAGTTAAGCCCCAAACCACATTTGGTGACTCTTCCTGATTATGCCCCCAGAAATTTCTATAACGAAGCTACAGTTTGCTCTATATTTCCATGGACACCATTCCCCTATAATGAGAAAGTCTTCAACTCATCCTTCTTCCTCCCACCCTCAGTCCTAAACATCTCAGTTCATCTGGTGTCATGACTTTGTGTTTATCTTTATTCATGTCTAACATGCCTAGTTCCCTCAAATGAACACAAATATTAACATATCTTAAACCCAAATATAGTTAATTACACCGATCCACTTAAATTGTGATTTTCTCCTAATCCATTCATGATTGGCATGGAGAAAGGATTTTTTTTTTTAAAACTGTACCCTAAGAGTGCTAAGAGAATAGACAAGGAAACAGAGATACCTCTTCTTGGAGACACATTTCACTTTTCTCTGCTTGACAGCACATCTCCACCAGGTGAGCAAGATCCACAATAACTGATTGGAACTGCATCTCTGCTGCATATGGTTCCTGCTTCACAAGGTTGCTGAGAAGTCTGAATAAGAAATGAGTGGCAAAAATACAATCACTCCCTGAGCTCTACAAGGCCAGCTTGCAAACCTGCCTTACTTATTTAAAGCTGCACACCACCCATGCCTTTGCATAGCTCTCACTCTTAAGTTTACAGGCCCTGAAAATGCCCTGATGTCTTCATAGTTTTCACAGTATCCTCTCCATCTTTTATTCAACATATTTTTCTTCAAGCACATCTCATCGATATAACTATTATATTAAATTTAATTAGCTTTATGTAATTATTACTAGGGTAACTATTATTTTCTATTTTTATTACATTGGGTGGTAAATAGGTTATACAATAAATTAGTTTTTCCTATAATATTTTGTCATGAACAACATTTATTCTAAACAGCTAACTTCCCAATAAATATTACAAGTATAACACACCTGAAAGTTGAGGGCCCCTTATATGTTATTAATAATAAAACCAATACACTAATTTGAAACTTCAGTAGTTTGACAATCATCTCAGATTTCCCTCACAGAATGAGTTTCCCCACAACTATAGAAACATCGGTGTTTCAACCACTTCGAAAATTTAAAATTATAACCTGGTTTCTGTCTCTCTATTTAATAAAGTACTATCGGACTTCCCTGGTGGCGCAGTGGTTGAGAGTCCGCCTGCCGATGCAGGGGACAGGGGTTCGTGCTCCGGTCCGGGAAGATCCCACATGCCGCGGAGCGGCTGCGCCCGTGAGCCACAACTACTGAGCCTGCGCGTCCGGAGCCTGTGCTCCGCAACCGGAGAGGCCACAACAGTGAGAGCCCGCGTACCGCAAAAAATAAAAATAAAAAAATAAAGTAGTATCCCAAATCTTCCAACGTTGTCTTTTTTTTTTTTTCTTTATTGATCAAGAGAGATTTAACTACAAAGAAAACAAGCATGAAGCGTAGGGGAAATGTACATGAATCCATATTTTATTGCTTTTACCCAAAAACCTTCACTTACTCTTCATTTTCAAATTCACATTGATAGTACCTAGTGGCCTTATTTGTACTTGAATAGGTGTAAAAGAAAATATCTCAAAGCTTTAAGTAGCTATTTCTATGACACTCTAATCCAAGGGTCCGGCAAATATTTTAGCCTTTTTCAGCCAAGAGGCAAAATTGAGGATATTATATAAGTACTTATATCACAAGACAGAGAACTCCAGGCCCGCCCCACCCCTGGGGTGGGCTGCCCCAAGTGGCTGGCGGGCACAGTTTGTGCCAGTTGCCATCAGCTGGAAATGATGGTGAAGAGGGACCAGCGGTGGGGAAGGGGGCGCGCGCCGCTTGTCTCACTCTGTGCCCCAGTGACACGCCCTTTTCTTCTCCCTGCACTCCGCTCTCAGCACGGGCAGCTGGCCCAAGGCAAGGTGACTCTCTGAGTCGCTTGACTCCTGGACTGAGATGCCACCCACCCCTCCGCTGTCCGGCAGTCGTCAACAGTGAAGTCCCCACCATGCACACGGCACCAGTGCGCACGGGCCAGAGCGAGCTCGGTCCCAGGCGGAGAAGGCAGGAGCGAAGCCGGGAACAGAGGGGAAGCAGACGCGGCACTCTGCAGCTCCCAGGCTTAGCTTGCTCAGGCGGTGCCCACAGGACCTACAGAAACAGCCCTGGCCAGATGGCCGTAGCGAGCTGACCCCATCTAAGCAATCAGATATTTAGCTTAACTTGGTAGCGCCCTGGACATGCCTCTGAACTTCCCATTTCAGCTCCACCCTCTCCCACCCTCCCCGCAAACCCCAGCCTTGAGGATAGACAGCTGAAACAGCAGCATGACTGAATATAAGGAAGCACAAGCCAGTTTTCTTTTCGGGAACTGCTACAGTGATGAGGTGGGTTTGAGAAGCATGTAATCACTGCATGCTCTGAGCACCAGCAAGACAGTCAATAGAAGCTAGGAGATTTTAATTAACTCCATGTTTGCCTCTAATCCTAAGACCTGGGAATTTAGGAAAAAATCAGAGAGGGGACAAAGACATATGTACAAAAATATTCACTATCACAATTTATGATACTTAGAAACTGAAAACAATTTTCATGCCCAGAAACAGGGACTGGTTAACTTCATTATTGTACCCATATACTGGAATATTAAAAAGCCATTAAAATGCTGTTTTGAAGAATAATCAGTGACAAAACTTCACACATTATCATTTTTAAAGCTACGTTAGAAATGATGACAACAGCCAACATCTTTTGAGTATCTTGATATTTGTTCTGTTTCAGACAATGCGCTGAAAATTTATAAATGTTACCTCGTGTAATGCTCTCTGTCACCTCCTTAATAAGGCCCTATGTCATCTCCACTTTGCATTTGTAACACTAGTTTCAACTCCTTGGGAATAATATAGATCTGGGCATATATATCAAGCCAGTGAGGTAAGCCTCCCTCCCAGAAGGCATGAGGATTGAGAACTACTTTCGAGAACTCGTCCTGAGACAAGAAGTCAGGCTCACAGACTTCCGCCCATTAAGAAAGGTCTGGTCAGTGGAAGACGGGAGTAATTCAATGGTTCCCCAGCTGGGCCTCCATTACACTCATTTCTGAGTTATATGGAATCAGGATAACTCTTTGAAAGGGGGCTGTAAGAGTGCTTTCATTAAGTCCTGCACACCGTTAAGACACAAGCAGCACTGCCACAGCACCTGCTAAACATGTACAATCCTGAGGTTTGGGGGAGGTATTATTTTTTCCATACAACAAAACATAAAGCAACTTTGTCGGGATCCAGTCTGCTGCTGAGCAGGAGACAACAGTACCTGGAGGGCATGACTGTTCCCAGTGGCACAGGAGTGGTGCCAAGGATCCAGGAATGC